ATAAGGTTATAAGGTTATGATTTTGTCTTAGATGAAGAATATTTATATATTCCTTCTGTTGCAATTGACAATGATTTGGTTCAGGGACAAATTCTTGCTCCAGATCTTGTTCAAGAAGCAATTTCGGATCAAGACAATATTACAAAATTTTCTATACACAATCGAGAGATTGTTCCAGAAAAAAACTCAACAACCTCAAGAACAAATGTCATTAAAGAAATCTACTATAAAAAGGAGAGACAATTTTAGATAACTTTATAGTCTTTCTTTAAAAAAAAAGATGGCGTGGATTGATGGAAGAAGATCTGATCAATCAACTTTCATCAAGTCATGCAAATAAATAATTTTCAAGAGAGAATTGATGTCATATATAAAGAGAAAAAGTTCATGAGTAACAATGATGTTTGGGAACTCATCCCATTGCCTGAAGGCTCGAAACTCATTGGTTATAACTGAATATTTAAAATCAAGAGAGATTCGAAGGGTGATGTGGAAAGATACGAGGCTCGTCTTATTGTAATGTCTTTACTCAAAAGGAAGGTAATTGACATTAAAGAGGCATTTTTCTCTAGTTTCTTTGAAAGTCTCTTTTAGTACTATTATGACATTTGTGACACATTTTGATCTTAAGCTACATCGAATGGTTTACAAATTAAAGAAATCCATCTTTGGGTTAAACTGATGTCCCGAATGGTATTACAAATTTCATCAAATAATTATATCATTTGGTTTTGACATGAATTCAGTTGATGATTTAGTTCAGTAGGAGTAAGTATATTTTTTGGTATTTTGAAATGAAAAATCTTGACTCTTTTGTATTAAGGATATAGATACACATGGATCGTTTTCAGTGTATTTTTTATTATCACAAAAGAATTATATCGATAAGGTTTTTAAGAGACTTAGGATGCAGATATTTAAATCAGGTGATACCCCTATGTTAAGGGAGACAAGTTGAGAAAATTTAACGTGCTTCAGCAGTTGAGAATTTAATGTATATTTAGGTTTGCACACATCCTGATATAGCATTCATTGTTGGAATGCTAAACAGATATTTAATTAACTCTAGGATGGAAATTTGGAAAGCAACTATTGAGTTATTCGGTATTTATAGAGACCTAAGGATTACATGTTCACATTCAAGAAAATTAGACCAATTGGAAATCATTGGATATTCTGATTCTGATAATGGAATATGGCTGCAAAATATTGTCATTAGGCTGCATATTTTAGATGGATTTGAAAAACCACTTTAGTTATTTTGTGACATAGCAGTCTTGTATTCCAACAGGAGCCTGATGATGTCAAAGCTTATAGACATTAAGTTCCTAGTTGTCAAATAAAGAATTCAAAGTTTTTAGGTTTCTATAAAGCAAATTAGGACAAACTCCATAATCATGGATCCATTTATTAAATGGCTACCACCCAAAGTTTTTCATGAGCATAATACTTACATGGGTGTTACATCTTTTGATGATATGCTAGTTTGTATTCGGATGTTGTTTGTTTTAGACACATATTTTTTATATATGGACATTCGGTTTATTTTAGAATTAAAGTATTCAGTTCAGTTCCACTCTGATTAAAGTTTATGGTTGATCTCATTAAAGAATAAGGTATGACCAGTTGGAAATAGGCATGTATGGATCACATTACATGTAAATTTTATACTACACATCCACACTTGATCTGTGTCATTTGATTGTATTGATATACGTAACCATTGAGGGTTTAGTTATGATATTTGTAACGAAGACCGCTTTAATCCTATGTTGATATAATAAATGGACAAAATTGTTCGGAGATGCTTTTGGTTATAATAGCTAAAGTTTTGACGCTATAAGGATATACACATTTATCAGGTAACATATGTGTCCCAAGTGGGAGATTGTTGGATTTATTAATTTGTCATGTAAGCCTACATATGTAATTAATTGTGTATAATGTTATCTTAAAGTTGAGCCCAATTAAAGTGATCTAATAAATAATTAATTGTTGGGCTTAGGGCATTTAAATAAAGTGTGGATCGAATTATGTGCAGAGACCGGATCCATTATGGTTGTATTTGACGATGTGCCAAATATATATGAAAACCACAAATAGGGTTATGGTCTCAATTCATATGCAATTTTCACATTCTTTATATCATCCCGTCAATACAAGAATTAATTGAAAAAATATATTGAAGAGGAAGATTAAGAAACTCACAATCAATAATCTAGATTACAATCAAGAATTAAGAACAAGGATTAGAACAATTAAATTGAAGAACAAGACAATCAAGATTATGGAACAAGAAGCAAAAATCAAAATCAAGAACTTAAGAACCAAAAAGAGCTAATAATCAATATTCAAGATTCGGAATCAAGATTCAGTAATAAGAAATTATTCTTAAAGAATTAAGGTATGTCCCGCACTATTAACTTTCTCGATGATTTGACATGGAAGATCTTGGCAATAAAGTAATTAGGTTTTCTAGTTTTATAAAGTTTAAAGTTTCATAAAGATTCAAAATGAAAATCACAATGGAATAAAACAATATAATTAACAAGGAATTAAATCTTCCTAAATATGCAAATATTCAATAGAGTCATTGACATGCTATCGTTTTCAGGTAAATACATGTATTCGTACTGTTTTTGAGAAAATTAGCTATCTGTTGTACGTGGGTCCCCATTCAATTTTTTGAAGTCTTTTACATCCTCGACCTTAATGAAATTATGCAAATAATTTCCCCACTAGATGTACAGATGAAAGTATCCTCCAAAAAGAGCTCACATGTAAGGCTTGTGCCACTTTTACTGAAAAAATCAATGGTTCCCCCCATGAGGATTAAGTACCAAATTTCGTAAAGGGGTTCTAAAGGCTTTGAAATTTTCAATGGGGACCAAAGTGCTATATTTTGCAAAGGTTGGCACCCCAGCTATAGTTCTCCCTATTTTTTTTTCCCTGGTAAGTACATTTATCTGCAAAGACATCTGTAAATACTCAATGACACATACGAATGTAGATAAGTTTCGTTAATAATATTTTCAATAGTAATATGATTGCTTGGAAATGTGGTAAGACACTACTTATTGTACATGATGTCTTATACTTATGAGAGAGATTTTCTATTAACTTTCATGGGTGGTTTACATGTTGAACATTCAACACGTTGGAGTGTCTGGATGAGAAACTTCGAAATTCTCTTTGATGAAATATTCTTGGAATGTTTTGAACTACATTCAATGGTACTGAGCAAGTGATATTGAACTTTCCCTATGTCAAAGACGAACAATCCAGCCTCGTGCCTATATTTGGTTGGCTTATAATATTTCCATGTTTGCACCTATCTACAGACTAATTTTTGATTATCTATAAAGTTTGTAGCCCTTTGCATTTATGTGAATAATGAAATTGAGGCTCTATATATCTGTTCAGATCCAGTTAATAAGTCAAGTCACTATATTGGCTAAACTTCGGGATGGGTTCTTGCACCTCTAACATTCGAGTATTATACCACAGGTCCTTTGCACACTCCATTGGAGTTGTCGGAGGAGGAATGGGACAACATCATGAAAACAAACCTGAAGGGGACCTGGCTGGTATCGAAGTATGTTTGCATGCGAATGCGTGATACAAAACTGGGAGGAACTGTCATTAATATCTCCTCTATTGCTGGTCTTCACCGTGGGCAACTCCCTGGAGGCCTTGCCTATGCTTCTTCAAAGGTCGCTGTTAACACCATGACAAAGGTAGCATGTTTTTTTTTTTTCCCCTACACAGTATTGTTCTGTATTTCTCTGTGCCTGGAATTGACCACAACGCACTGGTTTAAGACATCATGTACAATAGAAAATCTGTATCAACTGCTGAGATATGGCTTCGCGTCTTCATCAAGCCGTTAATTTCAGCAAAATCTCCCTCATTCCTCCATTTAAATACGCACTCAGAATCAAAAAATAGAAATGCAATTTCTCTTCCATTGGCCTTAATTTGGTTAATGCATATCATATGAATTTGTTTTGAATATAGTTTTGCTAATGTGGTTTTTCTGTGTTGCTTGATATTCAGATCCTTATACGCCATCAATGTATTCATATTATACTAGATTCCATGAAATTGTCTTTTGTGCATCCTTGCAGAGCTAGAAAGAGACTAAAAATATAACTTATTAAGAATCTGCTGCTATAGCAAGCACACATCAATTGCCTTTCAATTCAGCTTTCAGTTTTCCTTCTCTAAAATCTGCCCACATTGGTTGCAAAAATAAGCTATGACACCTAATGCTTGATGACCATCTCTTGGACAAGAACATTTCTTAAAGACTTGAGTGTCTAGTCAGTACGTAGAGAGCTTTATTCAGAGCATATGGAAATATATGCCTATGGTCGTGGGATCAAAAATTAAATGAGCATATGGAAATATATACCTATGGTTGTGGGATCAAAAAATTAAATGAGCATTATTGACGATTCATCGTTATCCTTGGCTGATTCTTTTCTGTAGCTTACTGCGTAATACCTGTTAGAGATAGTATGTGGTGGCTTTGTTACATAGATTCCGTCAGCCCTAGCCAGTCTCAATTTTTCATAATCATGTTAATTAGTGTCAATGTTTTCCTGCCACCAATTTGCTAGCTTCTGCATTTCAAGTGTTCCATCAACTTCTCATGTGTAATAAAAGGTCAGTAGTTTTATTTTTTTCTTCACTTCCACATAACATGCAGGTTATGGCCATGGAATTGGGAGCGTTCAAAATAAGAGTGAACTCAATATCTCCTGGGCTATTCAACTCTGAGATAACGCAAGGACTCATGCAAAAAGATTGGCTAAAAAATGTTGCGTTGAAAACCGTCCCTTTAAGAACTTTCGGGACATCTGATCCAGCATTGACATCACTTGTTCGATACTTAATCCATGATTCCTCTGAGTATGTCACGGGCAATGTTTTCATTGTTGATGCAGGAGCCACTTTACCTGGTGTCCCAATTTTCTCCTCTCTTTAGATATCCAAGAAATGATGTTATTTTTGTTCAAAGAAACCAAATTGGATTCTTTGTCGAAAGAAATTCTAATAAATGCCTGTTTGAAGAATATGTTGCATATGAATTATTCAATATACTGAATAATTTATTTTTTCTCATTGAAAAAAGCTGAATCCATCTCAAAATTAGTCAGAAATCATGTGATATTGTGTAATTTTTTGTTGAATGACATAATTATATTCACTTTCAATTAGATCCACATCGGTCTGTCATGAATTTTGAAATAATACCTAGATTAGGATCCCTAATCTTTTACTACAAATAGTAATCACAGTCATAATCCAAGATTGGCACAAACACAGATGTTGCCCTTGATTAAGAAGGTGAGGTTGTCCTTAATAATCTAATACATTGTATTAGATTATTAGGGGGATTAAGGTGATTTAGGGAGAGTTATTCTAATGAATTTTGGCTGTCACCGTATTAGAAGATTGTACAAATGATGAAAAATTAACTTATTGAGTGAGTTTTTTTATTTATAATAATTTCTTGTATGTATATTTTTTTCATGTTTGTAAGTGAAATTTTACTTATAAGTCATTGTTTACAAAAAAGTGACTTTTTAACTTAAAATTGAAATTAAAACTTATTATTAAAATTTTTAGTTAAAATTAATTTTTTTTACTATGAATAAAATATTTGACTTGCTAGTAAAAGTTTTAACTCAAAGTGAATTTTACTTATCTTATTTTTTTAATCTTATATGTAATTTTTACTTATAAGTGAAATTTTAAATTATGTAAATTTCATACTTATAAGTGTATTTTGTTTCTTATTTTGAACTTTAACTAATATAACATTTTTGTTTATTGGATAGTGTTTGTCCATTGAATACATTTATTTTACTCAGGACGTTTTAAAATTAAGTATTAATTTATTTTTCGATAAATTATTTGTATTAATTTGAGTTGACATTTGTTTATGGATCGATTTGATATTATAAATTGGGTCCTTAAGTTGCTAAGTATGGACATATTCAATTCATAATTCGATCTTATTTTTATTGTCTATGATTTAAAGAAAAAAAAAAAGATGAATACTTTATATTTATAAGATTGTCTCAATTTTATTACTTGAAAATATGGTGGAGCATAAATTTTGGAATGTATTGCACTGTAGCATGAATTTAATTTCACTTGGTTGTTGTATATATGACCTTAATCTTGAGTGAGCAATAGACTTCAATCACTAACTTGAAGTTTTTTGAGGTATGAATGTATTAGGGTCCTGTCTGGACTCGCTGAAATGAGGGGCAAAATCAAATTTTAAAACGTTATAGTCTACCATTGTTGACTAACCCTCTCACGAGTGGGACCCTCCAACGGCACTATTGTTGATTTTAATCCAAATGGCAGTGGAACCAGACATACTCTAGATAAAACCATCGATCAATATCTCGGTGTTCTGAGAAGTGAATTGAAAAAATAGGGAACACATATAAGTTACACAAAATTGTAACATATATAATAGGCACTATTATGATTTCAAATGATTTTCTAGTGGATAGTTAAAGTTGAGACAAGTAATTCGACATTGATTGTTGAATTAATATTGTGATGTGATCACGTGGGATGACAGATCAAAAATGGGATTTGAAGATTTATATTACATTTAAAAATGATTTATTTCCACAAAAAAGGGGTTCAAACATAACCTAAATTTCGTCAAGTACATAAAAGAGTAATTGAGAAAAAGTACCTTTTTTCTTTTTGGGTGAGGGCCCATATAATTTGATATAAGACTAAGAAAAATGGGAAGAGTTCAAAATTCAGGTGT